TCTAACAAATTCATATCCATAAAATACATTGTAAGAATTCTGTCCCCTGCGTGGCTGAAAAAAATTAAAGAAAGACACCAATACTTTGCAACTTTGCATTTTAAACACTGTTTAATGTCAGCATATACATAATTATGTTGAGGAATATCATTGGATTATCAGAATTTCAAAGTATTGTTGACAAATTCTATCATATAAAGGTTGATTAAGAGCTGAAACTTTGTGTTGCTTTGGGACTGCCTTCTGAATAGGCAATAGGCTGTTACTAATGAAGAGATAAAGCAAAATAAAGCAACTTTAATCTTCAGTGATTCTAAATGGTACCTCATTATACAGTTGCATAATTAACTTCTCTTGTACTGTGTTCATTTAAAAATTATCTGGTCGTATGTGACCATGCGTATTGAATGTACTGTGCAATAGCTAGATCACGCTGCTCCCTGYTCATGAGGCAAGAGACATTCTTTAATATATTTACACACACACATTCCTATATCCTGGAGCTCTTGGACACAGCTCTATAGGCTGGAGGCGGGCACGTCTGAGTATATACATTAGTATAGGCCTGCATGTAAAGAGCCTTCACGGATGCAGTCTACAAAAGCTCTCATAATCTTTCCTTCTCTTCAGCATCGCTCTTGATAGTCACATGCATTAAGAAAATAGGGCATGCAACACTAAGTATGATATTCTTAGGCCYATATCAAAGCCCTCAAGACTCTCATTAGACTTACGAGTAAAAGTGTGTTTGCTGCGGTGAGCACAATACTGTGCAGCTCACTAAACTTATGCAGAGGATTCTGACTCGGTGGTACCTGCCTCTGTAAGGAAGCTCAAAGGAGAATAAACGATTTCTCTAGCATAGGTTGTGCCTGCCCCAGAATTAATCCCAAAGTCCATGTGAAAGCCACTAACTTGTGATGTTTCTGGCTGTACTTCATACGACCTTGCTGGACACTGCCTTAGGTATGTTTACATTGCATGTATATGTGAGTACTGATTTATGTGTGTGGGTGCAGAACAGTCTTGTCCTTCTTTAAAGCTGCCTTACAGATTTCAGTTTTGGTCAATTTTGTAGCAAGTAAATTCAAATTCATCTTAAATCTTGCCTCTCTATTGAATGAGTCTCTGCTGAGTAGTGATTCTTGTAAATGTGCCACAACAGAGCAGGAGAATTTTGCATGTACCTTCAGCTATTTTTCTGCTTGCAATGTATATTGGTTACAATAGGGAATATTCTAAATATTTTAACCAAAATATTTATTAAAATAACTCAAAGCCATGTGGACAGTTAAAAGGACTGTCAAAAGCAGAAATGTCCAAGTTTGTTAGATTTTTTCAGCTTAAAAAAGACCCTTTTAAAGAATACGTGTATTAGAATAAAACATTCCCCTGCACTATTTGTGGAGCGCAATGCAAGTAGTTGTTTAGTATTTTTTAATCAGAGATTTGGGAAATACTTTGGGGACCAGAAGATCTCAGTGAATCACAGCAGTTATCTCCATTTCAGATGAAGGAGAAACAGAAGCAATTTCATCCAGACCGTAAAGCAAGCCTGTGACAGACTCTATGGGTAAAAACGATAGACAGAAATTCTTAGTACTACCATTCAGCCGTGTTTAATAGTACCTTGCTGAAGGTACYGTTTGCATGGACAACATGCAAAATGAAGAGGATAGAAATTTAATTCTGTTAAGTCTCACTGATTAAAAAAAAAAAAAAACTATTGAAGTAATTCAGTATCACCCTACTAGTAAACTTTGAACTCCTTTCTATGAACCACACTGACAATAGACAGTATTTTTTTATTTTTCCAAGTATATGATCATTAGTGCACCTCTGGGATGTTAATTACCATCATACTGTAAGTTTTAAATGGTATCTGTATGGAGTGAACTCCCTCCTAGGTAGCACTTCTGTCTCCCTGAAGCAGTTCCCAGGGGCTTTGATCAGTCTGAAGATTGCAAAACTTCACCTCTCTCCTAGTGGTAGCTGGGTCACTTTTGCCTTAGGCTTCTGAGAATAAACTGTTGGAAAACTAAGTGGCTGCTCTTTCTGCCATGAGAATACTTGGGATAACTGTTTACAGCTCTTAGAAGAAGAAATGCTCTGCTGGAATGTTTAGTTTGTGCAGCCACTGTTAGTGATGGCCAGGAGTGACATCTCCCTGTTTGTGAACGGAGCAGATGTCATGTCTGTAGGATGGCAGGGAGCAGCAGCTTGCTCCTCCTAAACCTGCTCCTCCGCTGCAGCAGCAGCTCCATCTCCTTCTGTTGTTGTTGCTTGGATGCAGACACTATTAAAGTGCCTAAATTAAGAGATGAGCGGTCACCCTGTGACTGTAGCGAGCAGAGATGTGAATTGCTCTGTGGAGATGCCTCTCTCCATCACTTGCAGAGGTAGCCTTGGGCAAGCCAGCTCCTAAATTAAGTCTCTCAATAAAGCTCCTGCAATTCGATGGGACAAGCCCATGCTCTGGGGTTGGGCTGTGCAAGCGGAGCGGCCTGGGTGCCGCGCAGGCAGTCACCGTGCCGCGTGCCCTGCTGCGCCTGCCCCTGCAGCTGCTTCCTGCTTTCTCTTTCCTCGTAATGCTTTGACTGTGGTTAATCCGTTTCTCGATAGCTGCTTCCTTGAGTTTTATTGTCCCCTTCTCTTTTGAAGAAATTGCAGGAAAACTCACAGATTTTTTGAGGCAATTTGCAAAACACAAGGAAACGGGCCTGACAGAGTTTAATCATGTTATAAGAGATTCTTAGTCTAAAAGGCAAACTATTTTAGTTATATTGTGTTATTGTGCCATTAGTGCCATTTGACTGCCAACTGTGCAGCAGTGGGGCTCCAATCCACGGGGGCTTTTGTGTGTTTGCCCTTGCAAATAGCGCTGAGGATAGSAGGGAGAGAGGCTCTTAGTGCTGCAGGTTTTTCAGTGATTAAAAATACTTGAGATCCATTTCACTGATCAGAAATGTGTCTTAATGAGACAATTAGTCAAACCATAAAGGCTGCACAGCAATTTAGCAGGAGTTACTACTGCAATAATTTGCTGCTGTTTTCTTCCTCCTGGTTTGACTCCTTCACAAYAGTCTGGATGAAAGTTGCTGCAGAGAGGATCTGTGGGCTGGGTCAGGCGTTCTCRAAGGGCCATGGTTGCTCTGGGGCACGTAGTGCTCTTAAAAATGAGGGAGACTTCGAGAGAAGTGTAGTTATTTTACATGTTAAAAAATTATTAAGTGTCTTGGCCCAAGTGGCCACTACAGTGACTGCAAATGCCTGGCTGCCTGTGAGTGCCATGGCAACCAGCTGCAGGGGATGGTGAGCACACSGGTACCAAACCGAGCGGGCTGCTTCCTTCTGGAACACACAGCAACGGATCCCAGAGCTTGGATGCCTTTTAGCCAGCGCTCTTCAAAATGCCTGGTGGAGCCTGTGTTTCACCTCACCAGACCAAAGTAGCCTGTCTCATTAAAAGGCTTCAGGACCTGATGATTAGGTCGTTTTTTTGTTAAAACAAAATCAGAGCTGCTGTTCTCAACCAATACTTGCCTTGAAGTCTCCCACTCCTGTTTCAGAACTGAAGCCCTGTGTTCCTCAAAGGTTGTATTTATTGCAGCTAAATAAGTTGATCTATTAAGGCTTCACATCTCCCTAAAAAACTTTTCTCGTTCTGACTTGGAGGTAGATCAGAAATACCCTCAGGTTGATATTACACAGACAAYGAACACAGTAGAACTTTAAAACTTCTTTTTAATAAATTAGTCACACTGCTGAGTTCTTTGCCTGGAGCATTTGCATTGATGTTCATGTCATTCTCAATGCTCAAGTGGTCTGGGGAGTTTAAGTCTCTTGCCTTTTGGAGTAAATCCTGCTCTAGAATTACCATTATTTAAMCTAACTAAATCTAATTAATTTGCATTTACCTAGGAGGGCAATAAGCAAGGCAGCGCCAGCGGGAGCAGCGATCCCTGCTGGTGCTCGCGCGGCTGCGACCTGGGGCTTTGGGGGCTCTCCCGCTCCGCACGGCGCGTGGGGCAGCCRTGAAGCGGCCGCTGCTGCCGCCCCGCGAGCAGGGAGGGTCCCTYTGAGGCGCTCCGGGAGCGGCCGCCTTCTGAGCAGCCTCTCCGTGCTGCCCGCTACGGCTGGAGGCTGGAGCGAGGCGCAGTCCGAACGCTTTCAATTCCTACTCTTGTTTTACGAGAGTTGAAGGAAACAAAAATGTTTCAGTCTTCTGACTGAATGGGGTGCTAGCGTCTCTGCCTTATTCAGTTTTAATTACCGGTATTTTTTTCCCCCTTACTGGAGGATAGTTTTTTTTTATTGCCTCTGACATCTTTAAGTGATTGGAAATAATTGGAAATTATTTAAATTATTGGCATGGCAATAGCATTATTTTGACAACGCTGTTWTTGTGTTGGTGCTGCAGTAAATGTGGTTCATTTGTGACAGAAGTGTGTCCCTGCTGATTGCAGCTGACAGGCGATACCATGGATCCGAACTGCTGAAAACTTCTTTACAGTGAAGTCAAGGTTAAGAATATATGTTGGTAAATCAGGAGTTAAACAAACAAACAAAAACTCTCATACACTAGCTATGGGGGAAAAAAAAAAAAAAAGAGACTGCAAAAGGAATGTTATTTTTGAGATACCTGGTGGAGTCAGTGATGATAACTTCCAGTCAGCTTTAGCCCTATCCTTGTAAACATGCCAAATTCCTTCACTGTGGAGCCTTGTGCTTTGTCTGRTGGCCCAGGAATACTCTGGAACATTTCTGGCCAACAGAACAGCAGAATTGGCCCATCTTCTGTCTGGTTAAGAGTGGGGAATTCTAGTCCGTAGAATTCTAGGTTGTAAATAAGTACTCTGATAACTTCTTTGTCTGTTTTGTTTGTTTGTTTTGTTTTCCACAGGAAAGCATTAAAAGTTAAAGATAATACAGCATCTTTGTATTATACTTCCATATAATTAAATGTTTGGGTTGATTTGCAGTTGTGAATAACTTCAAAATGGCATCTTTAACACAGGAAACTTTCTGAAAGTGGAAAGCATGCAAGATATTCTGTAGTTTGACTCTTTTAATTAAAATCAAATGATTAGAAATACATGCAACTCAGTTCTACGTGCATCTGTAATATTCAGTTGGTAACATATGAATAGTTCTGAAGAAGATAACATWTTGGTAACAGGTTCACACATGGATACAACAAATATTCTAATCTAGAGGCTTACTAAGACACATACAAGTTTTAAGAACCACCATCTTGACGTTTCTAGTACGTTTGTAATGTAAGTTAATTACCTAAGGGATAAACAGGGTAAAAGAAAAGGTGTCCCTGTAAATCAGTAAGCATTCAACACTGCTTTTCTGGCTTCTTCACAAAGCGGATCCAACTTGCCATCACCTCCTAGAGGAGAAAAACACAATTTACGCACAAGTATATTTATTCTTACTGTGCATTAGTATTCATTATTGTAGCATCCAGAGTCCTTTACATTCTCCCTCACGGTATTTTGACCCAGATTGTCTCTCTTGTTTTAGCTGTACGATCTGAGATTGATTCAGCTTTGATTTGGATTGGAAGCAGAGCCAAGAAGTGGATGCAGCCCTGCAGGRGACTCCACAGATAGGACAGAGGGAGAGGCAAAGAGAAACGTGACATGACAATGTTGACAGAAGCTGGAGTGTTTATGCTTTAGGAAGGGCTCATTTCAAAATCTCAGTCTTTTCAGTGAGCGACTGCTCCGATTAAACCTTGGTACTTACCAAAGTCTAGGTCATTGATGTCGCAGCGAAACACGATCTCCCCATTAACTATGAGTTCCACAGTATTCCAGTCTGGTATCTCTTCTAGAGTGACTTCGTGGCCATCTGCTTCCAGGACAGCTGCAAGCGAGCAGAGAGCAGTGCTGTCATCACAGTTTTACAGCTTATGTGACCATGGAGCAAATAACAGTGCTCGCGTGGTTAAATGCTGTACAAAACTCTCCACAAATCCTATCAGCTCTAATCTCCGGCTTCACTATTATTACATTAATGGATCTCCTTTGAATGAAGCCTGTGTCATTTCTAGTTCTAGCAGTTTCATAAAAGGCAAGAAATTCATTATGTACTTGTATTTGCTATTAACTGGCTCAGCAGCTGTAAGACACACAGTGTATTTATTTGTAAGTACCAGAGAATAAAACTAAATTCAAAAGAAATCTCCCGTAAGTGTTAAGATGGTGCTATAAACAGCTGGAAGTCTAAGCCCACAACCTTGATAACCCAATTGTTCATTGACGCATAATTCATTTTGCTTCCCCTTAAAGAATAATTCCTCGTTACAGTTAAGAACTTGAGATTTTGCAAAGCTTTCTGAGAATCAAACTAAAGGGACAAAATCCTCCCTGGAGCCACATACCTTTTTAGATACATTAGATGTGTTTTGTTTTATATTTTTTATTCTTTTTACACTACATTGTATAGCATTGTTGTAAATTAATCAGAACTGTGGAAGCAGAAGAATGGTCTGAAAATGCAACTCCAGCAGCACACAAATACCATCTGCTTCTGCTCAGGCCCCCGAAGGTTTAAATTTTGATTCCTCTTATTCTGGAGACTTGCTTTACTAGGTGGAAGCAGATTTCTGCATATTCCTTCCATCTTTTTAGGATTTTCTATCAGTTATTTGTCAAGGCTGGGTCAGTGTGCTGCCCATGCAACTCGGTTGCTTTGGACCATCCTTTTTAAAAAAGCWGGTAGTTAGCGGCACTTTCCTTATCCGAGCTCCACTGTGGCTGTGTGACGTGTAAGGCTGGCATTGCCCCTCTGAGAGAAACATGTAGCTGAAGTGCATCCATCTGCAACAAATAATTGCAGTATTTAAATTTCACTTACTGAAAACTCATAGAAAGTGACTTGGTAAGGAGCACAGGAACCTGATTTGAGTTTCCAGTTTCCAGCGTTAGATTTTTTAAAATATTTTTCGGACAGTTTAGCAAAACCTACATTGGAGAATTCTGACTGCCTTCTTGCAGATTTTAAGGCCAACCTCTGATTATTAATTCACATGTTTAAAAGGGCTGAAAGATGAAATTTATCCCGAAGGGTGGTGGCTCCCACACGCTTCCTAGTTTTGCTAGTTTGCTAGTTTAACTGCTCTTTCCTAACCCACACCACACGCACGTTCAAACGACCCCGTCTCGCCACGCGCTATGGGATACGCAACGTGCCGCGCACCTCGCAGCCCCCGCAGGCGCCAGACGCCATTTCGCGGCGCCCCGCGGCGGCTGCGGGCCGGCCCGTGCCGCACCGTCACCTGCGCGTGCCGCGGCATGGCGGCCGTTACCCGGCGGCCGTTACCCGGCGGCCGTTACCCGGCGGCCGTTACCCGGCGGCCGTTACCCGGCGGCCGTTACCCGGCGGCCGTTTCCCGGCTCTGCTCCGCCCCGCCAACAACAGGCAACGAGACGTTTCTTGCGACGGTTTTTATTTGCTCAGTTCGCAGTACTGGCGTATCCTTCACTCCAAGTTTTATATATCTATATATAGGAATATAGAGGCAGATAAATACCATATTTTAATAGAGCATGAAACAAAGTCAAGTGTGCTATAAATACACGTTTACATTTGTCATAAATCTAGACTATTTTACAAAAATAAAAGTATCACTAAAATATTTTTATTTCTGTGTAACTCCTATAGCAGAAGTTCAGCTACATTGTCGTAATAGGTTCTCTTTTACTTACAGATAGCATAAGGACTATATTCAAAAAAGCACGATCACAAAGTTAAGTTTCTTTTGCTTTTGACTGTTCATTGTAACTGCTGAGGTTCACCAAAGCTTGGTTTTAAATTAAGCATCCCAGTATCATGTATACCTGTGTATAACATGAAATAATCTCCATCCTAGTCTACTGAAGTGAGTTTCTCTCAAGTCCAGCCAGAGTATTTTTTAATTCATTGTAGCTTGTTACATTAACATAATTATATTTAGTCCATCAATTAGGGTTTTCTGCCTATTTAATATGAGCAATCCATTCTATAGCTTACTGTTTAGAAGCATTTCTAAAACCTTGCATTTTATTTCCACAAGTGTGCACAGATTTTAAAATCTCAGAGCTTAATTTGGCTAATGTAATTAATTTTAGGTAGATACATACGAAAGGTATTTGATAATATCCTTAACAGCTACAGCAATTTTAGTAACTGAGCCGAAGCAGAATTCCTCACGAAGCTCCTACTGACAAAGTGAGGGTAAGTTTGTAATGCTCTGCACTTTAAACTTCATCCATCCTGAATTTATTTGATTGTTGTTTAAATATGCGTGAGCTGCTTCTCGAGTTTCTTGAGCAAAGTACGATACTGTGCATATTTTACTTTTACTGTGAGTAATGATTAAGGTTATGCGCATGCCTGAATGATTTCCTCTGGAGTGACTTGAGTTCAGTGAAGCTGCTCATTTCAACAGAATGATAAGAAAAGTAGAGTTGAGTGCAAAAAATAGTAAGTCTGTGAGTATGGAATGTTTTTTCTTCTCTAGTAAAATACATGATATCAGTATTTTCTACCACCAGTTACAACATCTGAAATGTCTGTTGTTGCAGGTGTAGATAAGTAGGTCTCTTGTACTTAACAACAGACTGGTGTAATATCTCACACACAGTCTGAATTTCAGCCTGAATTTTCAATGATCGTATGTTGAATACACTGTGTGTGCTATTTTTAAAATTCCAGCCAAAAAATGTATAATGAAAATATACAGGTAATATTTGCAAACAAATATTCAGTATCTGTCAAAGTAGAATACAAAATAACTACTCACAGTACTTTTATACATGCAAAGTTTCATCATCATTTCAAACATAATTATTTGAAAAAATATTGAGATTGGAGTGCTACATTTGTGTTAAAAGTGTAGAATGCCTTTGTAGTGACATAAGACAAAACAAAGCAAAATTACTTGGAATATTTCAAAATAATTTCCAGAATTACAGTACAGGAACAGAATTTAAAGTTATATCTTGAACAGCATATTTATCAAGCAAACACTTGGTTTGAGTAACAGATTATTTTCTTTTTATTCATTTTTGGAATAGCTTTTATGCTATATTTTCTATGTAATCTAAGATTTGATTCTGAGTTTAATATTGTTTGAACTATAAATAAAGGGAGTAATAAAATAGATGTATTTTTAAATGAACACATTAACTTTAAAAGCATAAACCCAGCCCTCAGTTACTGTAAATCAACATAGTTGATTTGCTCCAACTCAGCTGATGTGTTCCAGCTGACTATCAGGCCCGCTGTGCTTTAATATAAGGGGTTAATATAAGGGCTAGCCTTTGTCCTTCAGACAACTCCATTTACATGACTTCAAAAAAAGTTAAAATAAGCAAGGATGTATATGCTGTACCAAATCACTATCTAAACTTCTTTAAAAAGCATCCCTGCATCTCTCTGACTAATTTATTGTCATTATTCTGATAATTAGATATGAAAATCTCTAAGCAAACCAATGTATGCCAGCTTGAGAGAAAGTAATTGAAAATACTAGTTCTTGAAGTGAATGTGGGGAATTAAAGAGGTGATGAGAGAAGGCTCAAGAAAACACTCCCAGATTGTGGAAATTATCCAGCTACTATATTATTTTTACTGTTTAATAGGGTTCTCTATATCTAATATTAAAAAATATAAAGTATGATTCAAAATTGAAATAAGCAAACTTAAACTGTTACCTGTAGTTCTAGTTTAGAGCCTTCCATGTCTTTCAGGCATCTCTTAACTGCTTGCCTCTTGATTCTAGTTGCTTATTGCTGCTAGTTGCTTATTGTGTGGTTGCATACAGTGTGTTAGTCACAGTGACTAAATTAATTCCTGTGCAGAATGCTCTTAAGTGGGACTGAATTGTACTTTTGCTTTGTGCTCTGCCTCTCTGTCAGGTTGAATTTTGCCCACTTACTGAAAATAAATGATTAAGTTATTTCATTTTGGACAAAAAAATTCATAGCTCTCTCTGCTGGGTCCTATCTCCTGTATGCTGCTTTCTGCATGGACCTCCTCTAGTGCAAGGACAGCGTATATTATCAAGGTGCTTGGTTTAGCGCCAGTGCAAATCTGAATAAAGGCTACCTGTTTGCTGCATCATTTTTGAGCTGGGAAAACATGCAGATACCCATTTAATTTTCCTAAAATCTGTTGCTGTTTGTGGAAACGTATTAGAAATGACCTGTATGTGATGTTTTTCGGGGTATGCCTCTTGCTTGTAGGAAATAGTATATAATATAAAATACTCTTCATGCAGAATTTTAAGATTTAATGGCATCAGCCTGTTATTTACAAATTACACTCAATATTCCTGATTGAGGTTTTTTTTTTTTTTTTTTTCTTCACATGCAAGCCTTGCAAGATGTGAATGTTTTAGTACTATTTGCAGGAGAGGTCAAGTCAGTGTGCCTCAGTGTTTTATTCCCATCATATACAAACTTACTCAATTTATTTGAGATTGTAAAATGGCCTAAGTCAATTATGGTTGGAAGTGGTTGTACCACATGTTCTTGTGTTACTGCCCTCTGCATTTCATTCATTTCAGCCAATGAAACAAACCTTTTTACTGAGTCATAAGCAAGAAGTGGAAGTGTTAGTATTTTATGAGGTTCAAACATGGCCACAACCTAAAACAAATTATACTTTTTTTGCTATACACTAATATATTACTGATTTTATCTTGCYAATATCTTTGCTTTCTCACAAGATGCATTCAGGAAAACAGTTGCTGCAGCTTCATGGGCTAGGGTTTGTGGTCGCTCGGTGACTGCACGGTTGCTTCCTGTTTAGCGGGTGGCTTTGTCGCAGTGGAGTTGCATTTGCTACACAGGTCGTGCATTTCTAGGAGGCTTTCTTCCACAGCTTTTGCAAACATGTCAGAAGAGGTTTCCTTACAGTCTTTAAAGCTTGAGATGCAAAATAATATATGCTCTGGCTGAGGGTTATAACATGCTCCGTAACCATTGGGCACCACAGGCCCATAGCAGCAGAACATTTCCGTGGTAGTTGGAACCTGGTTGCAGGGAGAAGGTAAGGAACAATTTCTGGTTAAACGGGGCTTCTGAAGTGCTGGTTAGGATTAAGGCAAAACCAACAACTCCTGCTCTCCCTCCCCGCCAATGCTGCTAGTGTTTGAAGTGCTGTGAAGCACCCTATAAAGAATAAGGGGAATAACATCCATCAGCAGTCCAGACCTTGAGCTGATGTTTGGAAGGTAAAAACTCATCTCAGTGTAAAATTTGATTGCCAGCATTAGAAAACCGGAATCATTTGAAGTAGGTTAATGCGTTTCTTTGCTCACTGTATATTTAACAGCTATGAGCTTTATTTACGTATGATGGACTTTTTAAGGCTGTATGTAATTAGGTATTTACATAGAACTTCTTTGAGGTTTTTCTTAATTTAGCTTAATCTTGTTACATTGAAATGGTATGTGAAGGCAGTAATCAATTACAGAATGTAGTTTGTCCATTTTTTAATAATCATTTATAATTGTGATCGTGTCTAAAAATATATTTTAGTGTCCCTAGGTACCAGCTAAAATTGCATTTCTATTACACTTCAGTTTAATTATGGCATAATATTGGAGTGAAACACTTTCTGCTAGAGAAAATAAAAGATGTGTTAGAAATCTGTATGCTTCAGACTTTGTGTACATGGGCCTTCAGAAATGACATTTGTTTTTTTTAATGGTGTAGAACAAGCCATTAGTCCTGCTAATAGAGCCATAGAATTGTCAGATAAATTTGCTGTGCAACAGCTGAAGGCCATAGAGCTATTCAGGAACGCTCTTTGCTCAGGGATAGTTTCTTGCAGAATTTATGTAGCAGTATGGTGGTTACACTCACTCATGTCTGAAAGCCTACAAACATTATGACAAGATCAAATTACTTATTAAGGTTTTATGCTTCAGCATGGTATTATAAGTCTTTGCACAGTTCCAATCTATGCAGTTGAGTTAGTGTTTCTGTAAATGAATTACTGCATAGATTTCTTCTTTCATTAGGATTGCCACTATATGCAATGAAACATTTAATTTTTAAGCTGTATACTGCAATGGGCTTCTCCCTTCTGAGATCATCAAATATAGAAAGTGTTGAGTCTTAAGAGTATCTTAGTATAGTTGAACATAGCTGTAAATCTGTTAAGTGTCTGTAAATTTGAATGTCTAAAAATGTCTAATACATCTGTAAATCCAGATGCATGCCTGCAGAGATTACAGTCTGACAGGGAAGAACYGAAGGCTCCAGAAGATTTTAGACGTAGATACTTTTAAGGAGAAAAATTGTC